TAGGCCCGAAACGTCAGCCTTCCTGCTCCTCTGATACTGCTTGGCCTGCTGTGTTCATCCAGCTCTACACCTTGTTATCTCAGATTCTCCAGCATCTGCAGTTCCTACTATCTCTGGCCACTTGGATTGCCCCTGTCAGGGAATTATGGACTTGCACCCCAAGATCGCTCTGAATATCAAATGCTCCTAAGGGTCCTGCCATTTACTAAACTGTCCTCTTGCATTTGACCTCCCAAAATGCATCACCTCACACTTGTCCAGATTCAACTCCATCTGCCATTTTTCCGCTCAACTTTCCAACGGATCTGTATTGTGCTGTATCGTTTGACAACCTTCTTTACTTTTCACAACTCAACTAACTTTCATATCGTCTGCAAGCTTACAAATCAGACTACCTACATTTTCATCCAAATCGTTAACAAATATTACAAACAATAGATCTGATCCTCGCGGAACGTCACTGGTTTCAAACTCATGACTGCTTCCATCTAGAATGACAAGGGCAGTAGATGCATGGAAGAACCACCACCTGCAAGTTCACCCCTATCCTGACATGGAAATATATTGCCATTCCTTTAGCTAACTCACTCAAAATCCCTAACATTTGAAATTCTACCCACCACAATTCAAGAAATCCACTCACCATTAACTTCAACTATAAGACCTGAAGTATGTCATTCAGCCTTTCAAGTCTGTTCTATCATTCAATGAGATCATGGCTGATCTGATAATCTTCAACTCTATTTTTCTGCTTTTTCCCTCATTACCTCTCTATTCTCTTAGCGAATAAAAATCTGTCAACCTAAACCTTGAATATACTTAATGATCCAGCCTCAATAGCCCTTTGTGGTGAGAAATTCCACAGATTCACAACGCTCAAGAAATTCCCCTTCATTTCTCTCTTAAATGTGTGATCCCTTATTTTGAGATCATGCCATGTGGTCCTAGACTCTCCCACAAGAGGAGACAACCTTTCCACATCGACCATATCAATAAGGTCACATTGGGGCCAATCTACTCAACCTCTTTTCATAACACAGTCCCTCCAGACTTTATATCAGCCTCGTGAACCTTTTCTGGATGGCCTCAATTGTTTAGATAAGGAATTATGAAGAAGGAATTATGAAAAAGTTCTGAGGAAGGGTCACTGGACTCAAAGCACTAACTCTGATTTCTCCCGACAGATGCCGCCAGACCTTCTGATATTTTCCAGCGATTTCTGTTTTTTGTTTCTGAATTCCAGCATCCGCAGTTCTTTTGGTTCTTCATTGAGTAATTTTACCTGGTACATTTTAGCAAAGCCTCCTTATTTTTACGTGTTTTGAAAAGAGTCACAGGACTCAAAACCTTAATTGATTTCTCTCCACAGGTGCTGCCAGAGCTGTTCCATTTTTCCAGCAATTTCTGTTTCTGATTTCCAGCATCCTCAGTTTTGTCTTTACTTTCTCTTTTTTTTTTTTAAAAATATTGCCTTCCCATTGAAACAAAGGCCAACATTGTATTTGTTTTCCCCATTACTGCTGAATTGAGCTTTATGACTTGCTGAAGGAGACTGACAAGGTAGATGTAGAGATGATGTTTTCCCTTGTGGGGCAATTTAGAATCAGGTCACAGTTTTAGGATAAGGGATGGCAGATTTAAAACAGAGTTGAGAAAAAAAAACTTCACTCAAAGGTTGGTGGATCTGTGGAATTCAGTCACAGAGTGCAGTGGATGTTGGAACACGGAGTACATTTATGGAGACAAATAGATTTTTAATTAGTCTTGTGTTGAAGTATTATGAAGGAGTTGAGGCAGAGGGGAAAATCAACCATGATCGTATTGAATGGCTGCAGGGATTCAATAGGCTGAATAGCCTCCTCCTCCTACTTATTATGTTCTAACTTAGATGCTTTTTTTTGTGATTCATTCATTCACAAGGACCTCACCCCAACCCCATGTTTTATCTTCCTGCAGTGTCTCTTCATTTAAACACTCAGCTCCTCAATGCTTCCTGTCAAAGTGCACAACCTCACATCTGCCCATAATATTCTTATTGAACAGAACTGGACCAATCAATATTGTCAATATAAGGGCAAGCCAGAGGCTGAGAATTCTTACCAAAGAGATGAGTGGAGGATGAATCAGAGGCCACTATCATGGCCTATATCATAAGGCTTCAATGAAATAATAATCATGGAATTAAAGGTACAGGACAAAAGAAATGCATTCATTTTGCATTTTATAGACAACAACCAGATTCAGTCGTCTTTTACAATACTAAAGATAAGACAAAAGTGTGATTGCAGATAAAATCATGAAAGAATGGATAGGCACTGGAAGGAAATAAAATTAGTTCTACCTTCACTAAACACTTGACGTGCAGAGTGAAGGGTGATTCCTCCACCACCTGTCTGCCCATTCTATCCATTTACTAATATGCCTTTTAAGTTCAACGAGTTTACAATACTTTCAAGTTTCGGATCACCTCCACATTTTCAAATTGTGCCTTGTATATCAAGATCTAGGTCATTAGTATCAAGAAAAGCAACTGAATCCCAGGGAACTCCACAACAAACCTTCCTCTTGCCCAAAAATCACCCATTAACCACTACTGTTTCCTGTCACTCAGCAATTCTCAGAAAATTTGGTGAGCTTTACCGTGTCATAAGACAATCAGAGCCATATTTAATTATCTCGGATTAAAATTACAATATACAAGATTGTCAGAAACAGTGGGCATGTCTGGAAAGAGTGATAGGATATGTAGAGAAAACAGTGGCTGTCCAAATGGTAGTCAAAGTATTAGAGATTTATTCAACATGGAAATAGACCCTTCAGTCCAATGAGTCCACATTGACTATTTTCCAAACTAAATTAGTCCCATTTGCCTCTGTTTGGCCCGTATCTCTCCAAACCTTTCCTATTCATGAACTTATCCAAATGTCATTTAAACATTCTAACTGTATCTGCACCCACCATGTCCTCTGACAGTTCATTCCACACACTAACCACTCACTGTGTTAAAAAAAAAAGTTGCCCCTAATGTCCTTTTTAAATCTTTCTGCTCTCACCCTAAAAATACGCCTCTATTTGTGAACTCCTCCAACTTAGGAGAAAGATCCTCAACGTCCCACACTCCAGTGAAAAAAGTCCCAGCCTATTTTTAATCGCTCAAACCCCGACCCCCGCCTCCCCACCACCGCGATTCCCAGGAACAGCTTGTTAAATCTTTTCTGAAGTATCCTTCCTAGAACAGGGTGACCAGAACTGCACACAGTACTCCAGGAGAGGTCTTACCAATGTCCTGTACGACCTCAGCATGACATCCCAACTCCTTTACTCAAAAGTCTGAGCAATGAAGCGGAGCGTGCTGAATGACTTCTTAACCATCCTGTTTACCTGTGACACAAATGTCAAAGAATTATGTATCTAAGCCCCTAGATCTCCGTTTTACAAAACTACTTAGGGTCCTATAATTAATTGTCCTTGTTTTGCCCTCGTTTTATCAAAATGCAATATCTCACATTTATCCCAATCAAATTCGATCTGCCACTTCTCAGCCCATTGACCCAATTGATCAAGATCTCTTTGTCATCTTTGATAACCTTCTTCACTGTCCACTATACGAACAATTTTGGTGTCACCTGCAAACTTACTAACCATGCTTCCTATATTCTCATCCAAATCATTGATATAAATAACAAATAAAAGTGGACCCAGTACGATCCCTGTGGAACACAGATGGTCACAGGCCTCGAGTCCGAAAAACAACCCTCCACCACTACCCTCTGTCTCCAACCATAAAGGCAATTTTGTATTCAATTGGCAAGCTCACCCTGAATCCCATGTGATCTAACTTTACTAATTAGTCTACCATGCAGAACCTTATCAAAGGCTTTAGTAAAGTCCAAGTAAACAATGTCTACTGAAATTTTTACTTGAGAGGATTTGTAGCTCGGGTCATGGATGAGGTTGCAGACGGTGTGTTTGATTGCAGATGTTTCGTCACCCTGAGAGGTAACATCATCAGTGTGCCTTCGGTGAAATGTTGGGGTCCTGTCCAACTTCTTATTTATATGTCTCAGTTTGCTGGGGTGGTTGGCATTACTTCCAGTTCTGGTTATCAGTGGTTTGTATAATCGGGTCCAGGTCAATGTGTTTGTTGGCAGAGTTCTGGTTGGAATGCTAAGCCTCCAGGAATTCACTCTATGTCTGTTTGGTTCGTGCCATTATGGATGTGTAGTCCCAGTTGAATTTATATCCTTCTTTGTCAGTGTGTATTGAGACCAGTGAGAATTGGTCGTGTCTCTTGGTGGCTAGTTGGTGTTCATGTATCCTTATTGCCAGTTTTTCTTCCAGTTTAGCCTAACTAATGTTTTTCACAGTCTCTGCATGGTATTTCTGTATATTATGTTAGTTTTATTGCAGCATCAGGACATTATTCAAATGAACCACAACACATGGTAGCAACCCGAATTGCGCAAAGCAGAACAGGGGCACTTATATGGAGTTTTTAAAAAGAATGGATACCCAAAAAGCAAATCTACCGTTACCTCCGCGACAGACCACAAGATGACACAAAACAGCCAGACACACTAGTCACCCTACCGTGCATCAATGACATATCAGAGATGACCACAAGACTACTCAGACCCCTAGGTATCAGGGTAGCCCACAAACCAACAACCACCCTGCAACAGCTACTGATGAACATAAAGGACACCATACTCGCAACCAATAACACTAGCATAATATACAGAAATACCATGCAAGGACTGTGAAAAACATTACAAAACTGGAAAAAAGCTGGCAATAAAGGATACACGAACACCAACTAGCCACCAAAAGACACGACCAATTTCCACTGGTCTCAATACACACGGACAAAGAAGGACACGAATTCGACTGGGACAACACATCCACAATAGCATGAACCAAACAGAGACATGTTAGGGAATTCCTGGAGATCCTGCATTCCAACAGGAACTCCATCAACAAACACATCGACCCGGACTCGGTTGACAAACCGCTGAAAAACAGAACCAGAAGTGATGGCAATCACTCCAGCAAACTGAAGCATAGAAATAAGAAGCGGAACAGAACACCAATGTTTCACTGGAGGCGCCCTGACGATATTACCTAGCAGGGTGACGAAACGTCTGCAATCAAACATACCGGCTCGGCGAGCAAGTCTGCAACCTCAACATCTATTGCTCTGCCCTAATCAGTCTTTTTGGTTACTTCCTCAAAAAACTCAATCAAGTTTGAGATACATGATTTCCCTTGCACAAAACCATGCTGACTATCCCTAATAATTCCTTCCCCCTCCAAATGCATGGAAATCCTATCTTTCAGAATAACCTTCAACAACTTACCCACCACCAATGTCAGACTTGCAGGTCTACAGTCCCCAGGCTTCTCCTTACAACCTTTCTTAAATAAAGGCACAAGCCACCCTCCAATCCTCCAGCATATTCATTTCAGTTAAGCATTTCTGATCATAAATTTTCAGAATCTGAGCAATCGAACAGGTGACGAGGCAGCTTGTTTTGAGTAGAGATTAAGGGAACTGGGCTGTATTGTCCAGAGTTTTGAAATTAGAATTGATCTCCATGAAACTTGCAATTATTCTTTTCAGACACGGCAGGGTGTATGAACTGTTCCCTGGTTGCTGAGTCTAGAATTAGGGATCTTAGGATAAAAGGGGCAGGTGAATTAAGATGGAGATGAGAAACAATTTCTTCACTCAGCAGGCACTGACTACACCAGAGAGCTGTGGGAGCTAGGTGATCATGTTCAATATAGAAAGCAATAAGATTTTTGGAGAAGAATGGATATGAAAACAGTGCAAGGAAATGGCACTGAAGTAGATGATTTGTCTCAATTTAAATGAATGGTGCAACAGACCTAAGTTGATTTGTCTTCTCCTGTTCGTACAGTCACATGAAGATGTTACAAGGAAACCTATTAAACATTAATGCCTGAAACTTGACATTGGCAACTAAGCTTCTCATCACTGCAGCTGAGTCTTTGCCACAAGAAACTAAATCTTCAATTTAGGGGTTTCCCAGGAAATACTTCATTTTTAAAATTCATTTATTGTCCATCCATAATGGATCAGAGGTCAGTTAAGAATCAACCACATTATTGGAAGTTTGGAGTCACATGTAAGCCAGACCAGGTAAGGGCAGCAGTTTCCTTCCCTAAAGGTCATTAGTAAATCACACGGGATTATATGACAATCAACAATGGTTTCATGGTCATCATTTGACACTAACTCCAACTTTTCTTTCCAGTGAGGATAAATTTCATCATTGGTCATGGCAGAATTTGAACCCAGCTCCTCAGAATATTACTTTGGTCTCTGGATTAATAATAATCCAGCAAGAACGCCATCGTCTCTTCATAGTTTTGTCACATACATACATACAAGAGCCACTAAAGTGCAAAATTAAACTACAAAATGAAAATCGACAATGAAATATGCAACACAGTTAGTGCACGATCACCCTGAAAATGAGCTCAAGCATGAGTCAGCAAACCACTAGGTTTCTGACAAATTAGCCATGTTCTAACATGAGAGAAACCTGTTTGTCAATCTTGAGCATTAGGTCATATAGAAAAATTTTGAGATGCTATTCTTTGAAAGGAAAATGTTATGACCTCTGGGTGTCAACACATTTGCAAGAGAAAAAAAAAATCCTTGTTTCCCCTCAGATCCACAACACAGACTGTCAACATCTGAGATTTTGTAGACCTTTATTAGGTTTTCCCCTGACCTCCTCAGCTTCAAGAAAAGCTTATCCCTCCCTTTTCGAAATGGGTTAACATTCACAGTCATCGAGCTTTCTGACGCCACTCTAAAATTGAGAGGATTAAAGATTTCTGCTACCTCCAGTATAACTCCCTTCTGAAACCCAACATGTATCCTAATGTAACCTTTAGAGTAATGTCAAAATACCTAGCAATTTAACATCTGATTTTGTTTTTCCATGTTTCACTTTGGTGTTTGTACAAATTTGAGGTGAACTACGTCCCCGATTGGGGAGAAGGTCTTGCACTCACTGAAGCCGTGTCATTCTGAAGACTTGCATTTTTTCCAAAGTTTACGTTTCAGAAATCTCTTCCTTCAATATAATTTGAACCCAGTGAGAAGTCACATTGCACCACGCACCCAGGGGCTGGGGAGCAGATTTGTACTGTTAGGTGGGAGGCCAGCAACACAAACAAAAAAAAAATACTCCCCCTTGAAGGAATAGCTTCAAAGATATCACTTGGACTTACTACTGAATTATTTTCCTTAAACTACATTATAAATGGTAACATTTCTTAAACGGCCTGGGTGAATTCAGAGCACTTCTATACATTAAGTTGCTATCGGCACCTGAAATCATGGGAAAAATGCATCAAGATCCAACAGCTTCTGGGAAAAAAAAGTGGTCAGTCAGTAAGGCACATGATTCAGTAGTCTCTTGTCTGCAGTCCTCCATAAGAACTCCTTTCATTTCATTTCAATACAGCTGAAGTCACTATACAGTTCCCTCCGTGGGGAGAGGAAACAAGTAAAAGGTGCTACCGCTCACATGAACTCTTACACATGGGTTAACAGCTGGTTGGAGAGCACGGTCATCAGATGTAGAGCAGACCATTTTCAGAAAGCATAACTGGAGAATGATGCATGCCATGGAAATCCTGGGATGATGGAGAAGAAAACGTCACCAGGAAGTTGTTGCTCACCTGCTTCAACTTGAGAGCAGCTTGGACAGAGGGCCTGTTCTCCATTTGCTGCGCCAAACGGCGGTTTCTGGCACTTGCCAGTTGCTGCTGCTGCATCGTTGCTCGAATGCTCACCGTTGGAGGCTGTTTGTTCTTCAGCATGTTGGTAAAGCTTCAAGGTTGAACAGAAGTGGTTTAAACAGGTTTTAATACACAGAACTCAAAGGCAATTTGAGCCCCTCAGCTACGGTGCCCCAGTTCCCAGAGAAACCTTTCAGTACAGAGATATGTGGCACATTTTTTTGTTGTTAAAATGTGTTCATTCCCCTGATTCTGGGATTGCAACAATTGCAGGCCGAGTTATCAGAAAAAAGTGCAACATTTAGTGCAAGAAAAATCAAAGCAGCAAGATGAAAACATGAATGGGAAAAAAAGAGAAAGTGTGAAGTGTTTGAGGAAAGGATTGAAAGGGATAGCAATAAGAAAATATTAAACATCAACAACACTGAAAGATAGCTACTGGGCTCACATCCATTCATTTTGGACACAGGCTTTCCAAAAGCTAAACATTCTGGAAAGGAAGAATTTTCATTTTTGCTTATACATCTTGTTCACACATTTGTATCCTCCATGTGCATTTTATACCAGCTACTATAGTCATCGTTATTAAGTATCAGATATAGGGAATCTTCACAAATTTCAATTAACTTCACTACCAAATACACAGCAGCAACATCTTGTCACAAAGTTCCTAACTAAAGGAAAATCTATAGCCATGTTTAACTGTCAACCAAATGTCCAACAAGATTATTGAATCAATGCTCAAAACAAAAACTAACCAGGCAGAGAGATATTTTGCTCTCACAGCCAAAACAATACTTCTTATGACTGGATTACAGTGACAAACCAGTCTCAATGGGCCAAGTTTTAAAGACAGTGAGCCAGTGAGATGATATTACACTTCTAGGTTAGGAAAAACTGGACAGGCCTACCCCCGCCAAACATTAATGATTGGCTGAAGTCACTGGAAATTAAGCTGAATAAATATATTGTAATACAATATAACACTTACAGCCTAGAAACAACTATTTGCCCATCTTGATGTTTATACCCGATCATATTTCATATTTTTCACCTAACTGCATCAACATATTCAACTTTCCCCGGTAGTACATGCCCTTCCTACCATTTCCACCTAAATATACCAAGTTCATTTGCTAAATACACATCCATTTGTACAATTTCATTTATGCTTTCTTGATTTTTTTCAGAATTTTTAAATTGCACTTCCAATTCAAGACCAATTTATACAAACTATAAACAGTGATCCCAACACAACAGCACTTCCCACATTTCTGCCAGCGAGTAGGCATTCTGCTACTTGCCCTGATTCCATGTTCTGATCTTAACCCTGAGCCTAACACCTAAATAGAAGCCATGTGGATATCAAGAACCACCGCATTAGTCTAGTCTATTCCACTACTTCTTCAAATAATTCAGTTAATCAAACCTTTTGTAATTCAGTGTTACATTTTCAGTTTCTAAATGATTTGAATGCATTTAAGTTAGGATTCTATCGGCTATCCTGCTTTTGAAGTGACATTAATTATCTATCGTTGCCTAATTGATCCTCTTTTTAATTACAGTAAGTATATTTTTCGGCACAACATCGTGGGCCGAAGGGCCTGTACTGTGCTGTACTGTTCTATGTTCTATATTCACGATTCACTATTTTATTTTAAAATTATTTTATACAAATTTAATTATGGTTGGGCTGTCACATTTCTCACCTCTTTTCATACGTTGTGAAGACCTCACCTTTTTATTCACTTACTTTAGATTGCGGGCTCAAACGGGAAGAAGATTGTATTAAAACACCAAGGACTGTGGAAGGATATGCTGCACTTTTGAAAACAAGTCATTTAAACTCATTGAGGGTTGTGTTTGCTCTGCTTTGTTCAAGCAGTCTTTTTGGAAGGGGTGGAGTGAGGCGGTAGAAGGAATAAGAATAAGATGGCATCGCACCAGGGTGTGCACATCAACTGAAATTCTGCGAGCAACAGATCACCGATTGGTTTGCAATTGTGACCAGTTGCAAATGCCAGGGTTCATCATCTTGGCAACAACTCTCTGATCAGCTCCCATGCAAGCAAACAGCCCAAGTGCTTACTATTCTGGGGGAGTGGAGACCAGACCACTGGAAGAACAGGTTCGGTCTGTACCTCTCTCTCTCGCTGCGGGAAGAATCCTGGAACCTAAAGAAAACCAATTTTTTTTTGGGCTAGACACCATAAGCTGCTGCCTTTAAACACAGTTTTGAAGAGGTTTTGTACTTAGTGTATGCCTTGTGCCTCCTGCAAGCCTGGAAAAAGGAGACTGAAAAACAGGTCTTGGCAAGAAAAAGGAAAATCTCATTGAACCCAGTGGATTGATGCTATTGAACTGTGTTTTCCAGGATTTTTCACTGGACTCACAGAATCGATTTTGTTTAGTGTGTACAGGGGATTTTAATGAGGGTTAAGACATAACCGATTGAGCCATATCTTGATAGTTCATACCTTCATTTATCTATGGCTAGAACATACTTATTTGTAATAAACAGTAGTTCTTGTTAAGTGTAGGAACCTGGTCAGTGTTTTCTGTTAATCTGATTCCATTAGACTGCTCCCTTTTTACTTAATTCACTCGAGACATGGGCACATCTGGATGGCAGCATTTATTGCTCCTCCTTAGTTGCCCTTGAGATGGTGGTTTTGAACTGCCTTCTTGAACTGCTGCAGTCCTTGTGCTGTAGGTAAACACACAATGCCCTTGGAGAGGGAATTCCAGGACTGTGACCCAGGTATATAAGGACTGTGTGCACTTTGATTAAATCATTTCATTTTGCAGCGTCCCTAGAAGTCATGGGGCTCAAAAATCAGCATAGTCTCCCAGGTTTAAGGTTGTAACAATGTGCATCTATCTGAACCAGATACTGTATCCAAAGTTTGATTAGTTTATTAATTATCTTTCGCCATAATGTTTTAAAATCTTGACCACCCCACCTTTGATCTCCTCTTTCAATATCACAACTGCCACACTAATTACGTAGACAAGTACTATTTAATGTTTCTATGAGTACTTTGAACTGTTGAAAGGATGCTGAATGGTCGGCGAGGCTCCTTTGTTGCTATGGGGACCACATTTACCAACCGAGCAACACTCCTCTCTTGCAGGATAAAGTGTGCAGCCTGCGATGTTTGGTATTCTTGCATCTCTCCTGAGGAGTGCAAGATGTAAAGCTTCAACCTCATGTTTGATATTTTTCATCAATACGAGTTCTGCATTAGCAAGTGAATTATTATATTCTTTGATAAGACTGTTTATTTTTGCAGTGTCTTTTAGATTTATTTCTCCTTTAGTTATACATTAATATATATTAATTATTGCCCACAGATATACTCAAAAGTTTTCAACTTAAATACAAGCATGTGCTTTTGCTTTGGTTTCAATTTATCCTCTCCTTTTTTGATATTTGTTATTTGATAAATACTGCTCTTGGGATATATTTATCAACTCTACTGATATTTAAAATATTTTCAACTGTAGCTGTCTTCATCAGTAACTCTTTCCGGTTGATTTTTATTATTTTCATTCTTCTAAAAATCACTGATCAACTCCATTACTTTGGTCTTTGTCTTAACTTCAAGCTTTATTTTCAACCTTGTTATTCTGAGACCACTGCTGTCTAGATCTGCCCCTAAGCTCACTTCTCTTACTTGTTTTGACCAGTTTCCCATTACTATATCCAGCTCCCCTTTATAGGGCTTTTTACATGTTGGCTGCAAAAGAAGCCCTGTACCTTATAATGACTATTTCCTACACCCTTTTCATTAGCTCTTCGTGCTACTCTCCCCATTATTCAAATGCCAGCCCAGCTCAAACTGAAAGAGTGGTGGTTGCGGTACCCAGCAACATTCAATCAACAAGAAATTGATGCCTTTGCAAAAACTTAGAAAAAGAGAGTTGAGAATACTTTACTGTAACAGTTAGGAACTGCATTAAGAAGCCAACGAGCAAAAAGACTGGAATAAAGTGGTAAGAGTTGTTGGTTAGCCAACATCTCTACATCTTTTAAGAAAGATCAGATCATTTTTATGAGTGAAGAAGAAACAGCTGAAAGAGCGAAAGCACATCATGAAGCAGATTGTATGTCACTTACAAGACCCCAGGTGCATACAGGAGGTCTTTGGACTTGATTTATAGTGCCCACCAGCTGCCTCTTACAGATCAGACCACACAGCACAGCTGATGTGTCTGTCATGGACAGGACAGGGGGGCTGTTGCAGCCCAGATCAACTAGTCACCACTGCTGTAGTTTCTGTTCAAATTTATGCAAAACCACAAATAGGAGCAGGAAGGGGATGCACAAAACTGTGCCAATCTTACCACTAGGGTCATTTCCACAAAACCACATTCTTATAATCAGCTTGTTCTTACGTTCAGTGCAACAGCCCCGCATCATTCTACCACCTAGGTCACCGTCCTTCACAAAACGTGTTTTTTTTTGCATCTGATAACAGCTTTATTAAGTGCCATCAACTACTGGAGCAGTAATATATAAGAGAAGAGCAACATTCTCCTATGGTGAATCCCTGGAAATCATTGTGCACTTATATATCCTGCAATTGCTAATCAGCTACACGATTGGCACTTGAAATGTTGTCGGCTGCCTCACCGCTCGTTCAGCGACATCTTGGTTGTGCTTTTCAGCACAATCTTTGGTGTTGATGGGGCAGACATTATGAGACTTTGATGCTCTGCAAGAGAAAACAAAATCACAATCAGAACATAGCAATAGTTGAGGTCTTCATGATTAATCTCTACTCATTGATACAAGATATATCATTGTAAATTTTCATGATTGTCACTTGGTGACTGAACTATGTTGATAGCAATGTATATACTTGATAGAATGTTATGCAGATACAGTTCTCAACACCAGCACTGCACATCAGTACGTACTCAGTGTTGCTCCTCATTTTAGAGAAGAATCTTTATTTGACTGTCAAAGTGGATCACAAGAACATTTGCATGCTCGCTGTAATATTTTCAGAGTGAACGTCAATCACTTTTATTTATTTTAAAATCAACTGCTAATCAGCCACAGGATTGGTACTTGATTTTGTCAACTGTTTCATCCCTCACCAATCCTAAAAATAGTCTACCTTGTAACAAACCTGAAGAGGGCTTCATGTATATACAAGCACAGGATGCATTTCTTAATCCAAACTCAAACCAATTCTATCACTGTCACTGCTAAACGCATCAGTCTTGGTCACAAACACAAGCATCAGAGCCAGACTGTATCACAGCCAGTATTGGATCAATTGAAACGTCAAAAAAAAAAAGGACAAAAGGACACTCGACTTCTCTCTCAATCAGCAGAGAGTCTCACAATCTGAAGCCATCATGGGTCCCAGCTCCATGCATCTCAGCCGCCATCTTAACAAGAACCTCCTACACTTCCTTTCGAGTGCACAGGAATGAAGGCCCAACAAATTACTGGCACTGACACCCTCCAGATCCCTACTCCTATTCTATTCTTCCATCCAGTCCCACCTTCACTGTGCATTCACAACACAAACCTTCTGGTCTCAGATGCTAAACAACCTTAGCTCAGCAAAGGACTCGATTTTAACCCTTTCTGGCCTCACCTGAATGTATTTTGTACACAGCATGACACCAAATTCTTCTTTCATCCTTGATGTGTCCAATTCGTTAGGTCAGACCATTTACTGCTTCATAGACCATTTCACCAGTCTCCAACCTCTCCTTACACCCAGACACCTGACTCTGGCCTCATACCTATGTTTTGGACAAGAATTGTCAGTATGATATTGGCCATCTCAGGATCTCTCCTCCTTTCACCAACTCTAACTAGTTGTCTTCTGAATTTGCTGTGCTCCAGTACCTCAGGTATAACCCTGATGTTGTCACGAAAACTGCCAACAAAGATGGTACTGTAATCACCTGGTGTACTGATCTCTACCTTGCAGAGTTAAGCCTTAAAACTCGGTCACTTCTTTCCATCTCTCCCTTGACTGTAACCCATCACTGAACATCAAACATAGCAGGAACTGCAGATGCTGGAGAATCTGAGATAGCAAGGTTTAGAGCTGGATGAACACAGCAGGCCAAGCAGCATCAGAGGAGCAGGAAGGCTGACGTTTCGGGACTAGACCCTTCTTCAGAAAATTGTGAATGAGAAAGGGAGAGTGCGAAACAGACGGATCGAAACATTTGGGTAGAAACATCGTGTGTGAAACCGAGGGCGAGAAAAAAAAGGGCAAGAAAAAAAAAAGAGGGTCAGAAAAAAAAAAAGAGGGTCAGAAAAAAAAATGAGGGTCAGAAAAAAAAAGAGGGTCAGAAAAAAAAAAGAGGGTCAGAAACAGAAGGGCAGAAGCAGAGGTGAGGAAACAGAGAATGAGAAAAAGAGGATGAGAAACAGAGTGGCAAAAACAGTGGGGTAGAAACAAAGAATGAGAAACTGAGGATGCGTAACAGAGTATGAAAAACAGACTCAAGTGATATCAGACTTATTTCAAGCACAGCAAAAGGGACAATTCAGCTCTTGTTGAACAGCTTCAACTGAATATCCATATCACTCAATGGTTAACTCTCAAAACTTCTCTTTCCTGTCACAGTGGCACACAAAGTGGGATAGAAAGCATATGGAAAATTATCAACCCCAACTCCTGCCCACAATTCAGACTTCTCATTCAGACATCTGACTACACTGACTTAAACACTACCACATCAGTCTGCCCAGCCAACCAAACATCAGGAAAAGTGTCAACATGAACTGATTTATTACATGCACAACATCCTGATTAAGTTGCAGTACGATTCCATGACTACCATTTCCTCCTGTTCCGGTTATTTCTCCAGATGATGGACAGGGTCTTTGGACTTTAAATTTTGACTTTGTAATAGCCCAGGAAGTCCAACCGGAAAGATTATCATTTATTGTTGAACACCAAAACAGCATCATTACTCGTAGCGTACATAGGCTTGCTCCAGGCCAGGCCAGACAGTTCTACAGACCTATCCCTGGGTCTGCTTTATAGATATTTTTCTAATCAACCTGTTCAGAGATGTTATGACATCAGAGGTAGGGACATTATCACTGTGGCACAAGAGTCCCCTGTATGGGCTTTTAAAAAATATATCCAGAAGTGCTCTTACACACAACTGAACAGCTTTCCCACCACCAAATGACTGTGCCATTTTTAAAAAATCTTTTAACCATGAACTGCCACAACATAGCCAATTAGAAATTTACATGCAAAGCATGTTAAAGGGAATGCAAACATCACAAGTAAGGGGAGGTAGAAGTCGGGAGAGAGCGAAGTGATTGGGTCTGTTTCTAACCAACCTGCTCAGAGATGCTATTACACACCTTTGGAGCAGGTGGGACTTGAACCCGGGGGTGTCTCGGTCAAGGCATAGGGACACTATCACTGTGCCACAAGAGTGCCCTAGCAAAACACTGGATGATGCATTCCAGCTTACTAGGTCACTCTCTGTTATCAAGGGAACTCATATTAGTTGGTAATTCCCCATTAGCTTTGTAGTTGTTATCACACTTTGTTTCACTCTCCACAGTTGTCAGGCCTGCTTACTTTCTTCAGCATGTGTTGGGCTTAATTTTATCCCATACATCTTCAAACGCAACATTAAAAAAAAGTGATCTGGGCTCAGAAACTCCCCAGCTCGTGTTAACACAACACATTTAGTGCTTTAGAGTACAATATGAATCAACTCTTAGTGTGGCAAATAGTTGTGTTAAAAGAGCTGACTGCCACTGTCAAAAAACATTGTCCTCAAATTCCTGGACCCAACAGCAAAACAAACAGAAACCATACTGTGACAGTCGCAAAGGTGTCCTGTTAACTGCCATACTGCATCTGGAGACTTTCCATGGAGTAAAACTGCAGTGGCATAACACAACTCTGCATGTTCAAAATCCGTTTCAATATCCAGTGGGGTAAGTATAACATTTTATCTATTCTTCTAAATTTAAGCTATATATAGGAAATCAAATTAGAGCTGTTTAACATAGGTGATGGGGCGTAAGGAACCATTTGACTATCTGTAGAAAAATCATGTTTATGTATCGTCTTCAGTGCGATTTATTCACAATGTTGGAAATGGTGCACAACTCTTATACAGCAAATGTATTAACTCTCCACTTTCTCACCTCTCCTTATAAGCTTGTTTGCTTGTAACCTAGTCTTAGTGGAGATTAGAAGCTCATCAAATCCTGACACCACATTGCTTATCTCAAAAAACCAGCTTCAAGATGTCAGTCCAAGAGGTTGATTTTAATTTTATATTGCTTAATGACTTTATATATGCTGTCTATATATAACATACAAACTTGATTAAGAAGCTTTAACACGTAGAAGGCTCCAATCTGGTGGCATGATGGCAGTGATTAAGCACTGGGGCGTCACTGCACCAGGGACACAGGCTCGATTACAGCCTTGGGTGACTGACTGTGTGGAGTTGGCATTCTCCCCATGTCTACGTGGGTTAGCCATGGTAAAAACTTTCGTGCGGTGTTACGGGGATGGGGTGCGATGCTCTTCGGAGAGTCGGTGCAGTGTAGGGATTCCACGACACCACATCTTCTAAATTTCATCTGAAACCCGGGTTCTGAAATCAACTACGGGGCAAATGAGGGCAAGTGAAATTAAATCATTACTTAAATGTCCCATTCTACTAACACGGAAAAAAACCGCATGTGGGCTGCGATCACGACTCATTGTTAGAATAACACAACTCAATTAACTCTTAACAATTTTAGTTTTCAAAATCAACAACATCCGCATGCAACTCAAACAGGCTTTAGAAACGAAGACAAATAAGCAAGCCTGGGAGGGCGTCAAAATGTAAATCACACCACTCACTCCCCTCCATCCCGCCTGCAACTAACCACCTTCCCTCCTCCTCCCCTCACCCCGGTACTGACCACCTACTCCCCCCCGCCTCCCTTTCCTCCGTCACTCACCAACACATTAACCCAGATCAGTCCACAATCCCGGGCTAGAGCTCAGACTTAACGGGTGGGGGACGGCGCGCAGACACACTTAGTAACTGGAGCTAGTCGGATCTCCCCAACTTGCGGGCGAGTTATTGCCCACTTTTCTTCCCGGTTCTCGGGTGAGGTTGTCCCGGGGTTTTTTTTCAATCAGGATTTCCCCCCCGCGCTGCAAAATGGCGGCGGAATGGAGGAAATGGCGGCGCCGGCTCGTGACGTCACCGCGGAATGACCGTTAAACGGTTCCCGGAGGAAAAACAACCGGCATCGCACCGGCTCCCGAAAGGAGACCTCTCTTAACAACCACCCCCCCCCCCCCCCCCCCCCGGGGACCATATCCCATCTACTCCCGCACCACTCCACCTTCTCCCTAGATTCCCAGGATCACGCCCCCCACCCGGGGACCTCACCCTCTCCCCCTAAACCCCAGGACAACATTCCCCACTCTCTATACCACACACCCACCCCCAGGGTCCACCAACCCCTTTTCACACTTCTCTAGGATCACCATCCCTTCTATACACCTCCCTAGGACCACCACCCATCTCTACAAACTCCTCCCTGGGCACCACCATCCCTTCTCTACACCTCCCTGGAACCACCATCCTCTCTCCATAACTCCCAATCCATACACCCTCCTCCCCAGGACCAATATACTCCCTCTGTAACCTCTTTCTCCCGGGACCATCATCCTCTCTCCACAAACCCCCTTTCCTACATCCCCCACTCTGAGGGCCACCATCTCTTCTCTGCACTTTCATGGGATCACTATCCACTCTCTATAAACACCCCCAACTCCCTACAAGCCCCTCCACCAGGGGCCACCATCGCCTCTCCACACCTCCCTGCGACCACCATGCTCTCTCCATAACTATCACCCCCTACACCCAACAGCAGGACCACCAGATTCATCCCCCCCCGTCTCTCCAACCCCAGGACCACACCCTTTCTCCAAACTCCACTGCACCCTCCACCCGACAATCATCCCATCCACACACTCATGCCTAGAATCATGGCTCCATCTCCACCGTTCTGCTGGTCCACCAGCCCTGTGCCACAGGACCATTCCTCCCCCTCCCCCACGCCCCCCCGACTTTCTCTGCAACCTCCATCCCCAGAAACACCAACCTTTTCTGCACAGTCCTTCCCCTAAGAATTATGATTGCCCCACGTTCCTGCCCAGGGAATTGACCCCTTGCAACAAATGCACCTAAATGGAAGAAAATATCCCCTCCATCTCCCACCCAACAAAACTCAGGACCCTGCCTCAATCAATCCCCAACTCAGACATCAAGGTGCAGAGCTGGATGAACACAGTTCGCCAAGCAGACATGATGGTTTCAAAATTAAACATCTTCAGACCAGTGTCAGGAAGCTTCAATTCTGAGACAGGATACACTGTCACCTCAAAAGGCATGGATACTGAATAGGTATGTCACAGCCAGGGAATACATGATAAACGGAAGAGCATTGAGAAGGGCAGAGTAACAGACCTTGGAGTGTCAGTCCACAGGTCCCTGAAGGTGGCAGGAGAGATCGATAAGGTAACAGGAAAATAAAGCACATGGGATGCTTTCGTGTATTGAATGAGGTACAGAACATAAGGATGAAATGCTGGAACTGTACAAAATGCTAGTTAGGCCACAGCTGGAATCTGCTTTCAATACTGATGACTGTATTACATGAAGGACAAAACTGATCTGGAGATGTACAGGGGTGATTTACAAGAATTTTGCCAGGCCTTGAAAATTGCAATTATGAGGAAAGATTGGATAAGATAGGGTTGTTTTCCTTTGAACAAAGGAAGCTAAGACTTAATTGAGGTGTACAAAATATTGAGGGGCTTGGAAAGACTCGTTTCCCTTGCAGGTAGGTCAATTATGAGGGAGCACAGATTTAAGGTGATAGGTAGAAGGGTGAGATGGACAAAAAGAAGATACCTTTTCACCCAGATAGAAGTGGGTGTCCGGAATTTGATTTTGGGGTGATCAACTCTTAACAGTTACCTGAACACTAACTTGCAAGGCTATGAGCCAGGTGCTGGAAGATTGGATAGGCAGACTTATATATATGAAGGGAAGAGTTGGACATTGGAAAATGAGGATAGAGAACTGGTTATGGGGAACAAAGAAACTGTGGAAGAACTGAACAGGTATTTTGCATCAGTGTTTGTAGTGGAAGCCATCAGCAGCATACCAGAACTTCACACAGCCAGGGGGTACAGTGGCCATCACTAAGGAGAAGGTGTTGGGGAAACTGATTGGTTTGAAGGTGGAGAAAGACCAGATGGACTACATCCCACGTTCTGAAGGAAATAGCAGATGAGATTATGGAGACATTGGGGATGATTTTTCAGGAATTAGTGGACTCAGGGAGGGTTGCAGAGGACTGGAAATGGGTGATTTAACATCCCCATTTAAAAAGGGATGGAGGCAGAAGACAGGAAACTGTAGGCCAGTTAGCCCGACCTCTGTTGTCGATAAGATTTTAGAGTCCTTTAAAGTTTGAGAAGACTTATAGCTCGGGTTGTGGATAAGGTTATAGACTTGCTCACCAAGCTGGTGTGTTTGGTTGAAGATGTTTCATCACCATGCTAGATAACGTTGTCACCGCACCTCCAATGAAGCGTTGGTGCTCTGTCCCGCTTCTTATTCATGTCTTGGTTCGCTGGGGTGGTTGGCATTACTTCCGATTCTGTTTTTCAGTGGATGTATATCGGGTCCAGTTCAATCTGTTTGTTGACAGAGTTCCGGTTGGAATGCCAGCCTCCAGGAATTCCCTGGCATGTCACTGTTTAGTTCGTGCTATCATGGATGTGTTGTCTCAGTCGAATTTGTGTCCTTCTTTGTCTGTGTGTATTGAGACCAGTGAGAATTGGTCGTATCTCTGGGTGGCCAGTTGGTGTTTGTGAATCCTTATTGCCAGTTTTCTCATTTGGCCTATGTAATAAGTTTTTCCACAGTCCTTGCATGGTATTTCTGTATATTACGTTAGTTTTATTGATTGCGGGTATGGGATCGTTTACATTCATCAGTAGCTGTTGCGGGATGGTTGTTAGTTTGTAGGCTACCTAGGGGGTCTAAGTAGTCTTGTGGTCATCTCTGGTGTGTCCCTGATGCACAGTAGGGTGACTCATGCGTCTGTCCATGTTGTATCTTCTTGTGGTCCGTCATTAGGGACATATCAGAGATGACCACAAGACTACTTAGACCCCCTAGGTATCAGGGTAGCCCACAAACCAACAATCACCCCGCAACAGCTACTGACGAATGTGAAGGAGCTCATACCCACAACCAATAAAACTAACGTAATATATAGAAATACCATGCAAGGACTGAGAAAAACATTATAAGTGCTAAACTGGAAGAAAACTGACAACAAGGACACACGAACATCAACTAGCTACCAACAGACATGACCAATTCTCACTGGCCTCAACACACACGGATAAAGAAGGACAAGAATTCGAATGGGACAACACATCCATAATAGCATGAACTAAACAGAGACAGGCCAGAGAATTCCTGGAGGCCTGGCATTTCAAACGTAACTCCATCAACAAACACATTGAACTGGACCTGATATACAAACCACTGAAAAAGAGAACCGGAAGTAATGCCAACCACCCCAGCAAACCGAGGCATATAAATAAAAGAGGCAGGAGAGAACATCAATGCTTCACAGGAGGCGTGGTGAAGACATTACCTAGCAGGGTGATGAAACGTCTGCAACCAAACACCAGGCTCGGTGAGTAAGTCTATGATTTTAAGAGTCCATTACTACGGCTGAGATGGTAGAGTACTTGGAAGTGTGCGGTAAAATAGGACTGAGACAGCACAACTTCATCAAGGAGAGGTCAACCCTGACAAATCTGTTAGAATTCTTTGAGGAGGTAACAATCAAGTTAGACAAAGGAGAGCCAGTGGACATGATCTATTTGAATTTCCAAAAGGCCTCTGATAAGGTGCTGCACAGGAAGCTGCTAAATAACAGCCCAATGTTGTTAGATGCAAGGTACAGGCATGGATGGAGGATTGGCAGAAGGCAGAGAGTAAGGATAAAAGGGTTTTTTCAATTGGCAGGCAGTGACTATGAGTTCCATAGCAGTCAGTGTTGAGACCACAATTATTCATATTACACATTAATGATCTGGATGAAAGGAACTGAGGGCATTGTTGCCAGGTTAGCAGATGACACAAAGATAGCTGGAGGGATAGTTAGTGTTGAGGAAGTGGAGAGGCCGCAGAAAGACTTGGATAGGCTCGGAGAGTGAGCAAAGTGGCAGATGGAATACAATGTGGGAACGTGAGGTGTTATGCACTTTGGTAGGAAGAAGAGGCACAGACTATTTTCTAAACGGGGAAAGGCTTCGGAAATCTGAAGCTCAATGGGACTAAGGAGTCCTATTTTGGGATTCGCTTAAAGTTAACATGCAGGTTCAGATGGCAGTTAAGGAGGTAAATGCAATATTAGCATTCATTTCAAGAGCGGGCTAGAATAGAAGATCAAAGATGTGGGACAAGGTTATGGAGAATAGTGAGATTACTGTGGAAGATGCTAATACGCTAGGGCATTTTGAGATCAAGAAAGAAATGGTGTTGGGTCTCTTGAAGAGCATTAAGGTGGATAAGTCCCTAGGACCCGATAGTAGTCATTAGCTTTTGGAGAGGTCCTGGAGGATTGGCCAGTAGCTAATGTTGTTCCTCTGTTCAAGGAGGGAAAGAAAGATAATAGAGGAAACTATAGACCGGCGAGTCTCACATTAATGGTTGAGAAGCTACAGGAGAGAATTCTTAGGGATAGGATTTTTGCGCATTTAGGAAGGCATGGTCTAATTAGGGACAGTCAGCATGGCTGAGACACAGGCAGGTCACATCTTACTAACTTGATTGAATTTTTCGAGGTGGTGACGAAGGCGATCAATGAGGGTTGAGCAGTGGATACTGTCTACACACATTTTAGTAAGGCTTTTGACAAGGTTCCTCATGGTAGGCTCATCCAGAAGATTAAGATGCATGGGATCCACTGTGACTTGGCTGCTTGGGTTCAGAACTGGATTGCCCATGAAAGGAAGAGGGTAGTGGTGGACGGGTGTTTTTCAGGCTGGAGATCTGTCACTGGGATCTGTACTGGGACATCTTCTGTTTGTGATATATGTGTATAAATGACTTGAATGAAAACGTACATTGGTGAGTTAGTAAGTTTGCAGACG